GCCACATCTCCCTTTCTTTTTTCACACTTACGCTCAGGCCATAGTGACTGCTGGCAGTTCCCACAGTGCACTGTGACCTCCTTCCCTCTCTCTTTTGCATGAGCCGCTCTCTCCTCCTGGAATGCCCAGCTCGCACCCCTACCTCTGTGCCTGGCCAACTCTTCCTCATTCTGCAGGCCACAACACCTCCACTTCTGGAAGGCCCCAGCCTCTTCCCAGACTGGAAGTGCGACTTCTCAGACTCCCACAGCTGTGGCCCCCTAAGCCACTTTCCAGCAGTACTGGCCTGGGTGGGAGGGGACAGCCAACACCCATCTCGGGTCTGGTTCATGTTAGGTGCTCCATTTCCATGTGCAGAATGAGGAATACAGAGCAAATGAACTCCAGGCCCCGCCACCAATCCTGGCTTAGGGTGAAACAGATGAATTTCTTTGTGTCTCTGGGCCTCGGGAGTCTAATCTTCATTCTCCTCCACCTTCCTGACCCCTGGAGTCCTGTACCTTCTGAATCTGAGTCCAGATCTCTAGGGTCCTCCTCCCTTAGATCCTGAAGTCTAGGGCCCTAGCCTCCTTTGTCCCCAGGACCCAGGAATCCACACCCCAAGCCCCTTCCTGCCCCAGGACTCGGGACTCTGGACCTCTAGGCCTCTCCTTTTGCAGGGCTCAGGAGAACCATATCTGGGAAAGAGACAAAGAGGAGGAACAGAAGTTCAGAGTGGAACCCCAGCCCAGTAGCCTGTCTCACCTGGTGGTGGGTGCCAGGCTTGTGACCTGCTGATGCGACTGGGCACTGGGCAAGCCCCCACCACTGGGGGGCAGCAGGAGCAGCCCAGAGCCTGCACCTCCCTCAGAGGGGAGTTCAGGAGATGTCTGGCTCGGTTTGACCCCAGCGGCCACTGCAGCTGCCGCAGCCTCTGGGTATGAGTCCATGTCCAAGTAGGAGGGCTCAGGGGGGTCAGAGCCCCCTAGGCTGCCTGGCTCCAGCAGCTCAGCGAAGGGCGGATGGTGGGCGGTGTGGGCATGGTGGTGTGGACCCCCCAGCAGAGGATGGCCACCCAGGCCAGCCCCCAGGTGGTGCCCACCGCCGCCTACCAGGCCTGCCAGCCCGACCCCAGGGCCTAGGTCTTTGCGCAGGGGGCCCCCGCCCACTGCTGAGCCTCCCTTGTCCCGCCAGGGCACCCAGCACAATTTCCAGGACACGAAGAGGGAGACGCCCAGAAGGACAATGCCACAGAATGTCACGATGACCGACAGCAGGCTCACGGAGATGTCTGGAGAGAGTGAGGACAAAGGTCAGGGGTCAGGGTGGGGTCACAGTTTATCCTCCCACTGCCGTCCCCAAGGAGCTAGCCTCTAGCATTTGTCATGCATTGTCCTAAGCACTTTACGTATGTTACTTAAACTATGACCCACAAGGTCGGTATCACTATATAACCATTTTAAAGATAAGGAAACTGAGGCACAGACAGGTTGAGTGACTTGTGTTATGCTGCACAGGTAGTAAATGACAGATCTGGGATTTGAAAGAGCCATCTGTCTTCAGATGTGATGCTTAATCATTAGCCCATGCTACCTCTCCGTAAGAGGACACACCATCTGAGGTACCACCAATGTCTCCCAAAATGCTCAGAGATGATCAAGGAGAGAGGAGGCTGCATGACACAGTTAGGCAGGTCAGGGTTCACATCTCTGCTGTGCTATGCTCCGGAACTTATCTTAAGCACTCTGAGCCTTACATTCCCCATTTGCCAAGTAGGAAAAAATCAGTCCTGCCTCTCAACTATGGTATTGAGGAGTGTAGGACGTAAATAGCTGCATAGCCAGGATAGCCAGCATTGCAGTGGAATGTAGAGGCACACATTTCCTGAGTGGTTACTATGTTGCAGATCCCTAAGCGCTTTATTGGCAATAGCTTACTTTAGCTTACTTATGCCTGACAGGCACCCTAGGAGGTTGGCAACATTATTATGCCTGTCTTCCATAAAAGGAAACTGAGGGCAATAGACACAAAGTCTTCTGTATAGAGTCCCACAGCAGATCAGAGGTGTGTGTGTGTTGGGGGCGGGGTGTGTCTCAGAATTTGGGTCTAGAGTGCCTGGCTCTAGAGCAGACGGTCTTCCTTATGCTGTCACGCGTCAATATTTCCCAATAAATGGTAGTTCAGACATGGATTTTTATTAGACTAACAAATCCTATTGCTGTATGTGTATCCATATGTATCCATGACCCTGCAGAGGCCCACAATGGCAGTGGCACTCTGAGCTTCCTACCTCCCCCCCCCACCCCTTAGGGTGTTCCTTTCCAAGTGACCGACATCTGCTCGGAGTTCCTGGGACCTGATGAAGAGCAGAGCAAGGGCTTTTCAGCCTCCTGAACATGGGAAGAATTGAGAAAAGGGGGTCAGGGGGCCATTTGGGAGGACAAGGCAGAGAAGAGGAGAGAAAAATCAGCTGCTTTCCCCTACCTTCAGCCTCACCCAGACCCTCTCCAAGTCAAAACATCAATCCTCCAAACTCTGTTGGATTTCTTGTTCCTGTCTGCCTGGTCTGGGGAGCCATGTGGGCTTGGCGAGGTGGAGTAGTTGGGCAGGAAAAAGATGAACCTTGCCCAAAGAAATGTTTGGCCCTTGATCGGCTCCTGGAAAGAACCTCTAAGCCCTTGGAACATTCTGCCTGCAAGCATTTTTGTTTATCTGAGGAAACTTGGACTATGTCAGATGGTCTATGTAACAATGTGATTGATGTTGGGGGACTGGAATGTATCAGCTTGGCCTCTGGAGGAGATGGAGGTGAAGTTCAGCCCCATGGGCGGTCAGCCATGTCTACCTGACTGAGACCGAAGCTCACACCTGGTCTCTCCTGTACCCTATTCTATGTGACTTGCCCTTTGCTGTTTTTAACCTCCATCCTTTTGCTGTAATAAAACATAACTGTGAGGAGAACAGCTTTTCTGTGAGTCCTTCTAGGGAATCACTGAAACTGAAAACAGAGACCACAGGTGGGCTTGGGGACCCTCAAATTGTGGTAGTATGCTAGACTTCCTGGGGTCAAATCTGGCTCTTTTGCTTACAGGTTGTGAGTCTCTGAGCAAGCAACCGCAGTTTTCGGGACCTCATTTCTCATCCCTGTCCCTGGATACCCCCACACAAGATGCCGAGCTCTGCCCTGCACGCAGCAAGTAGGACTGTCATTATAACCTTGCGGCATGTGCTTCCTCGGGGTTCCTCATCTGGACAAGGGCACTCATAATATTTCCTTGCTTTCAGAACCCTGCTGCTTCCTAGATGGGTGACCTTGGGCAAGTCACTTCACCCTTCTGAGTCTCCCCCCCCCCATCAAAAATAGGGACTATAGCTACCACAGAGGGTCGTTGTGAGTGGTTGATGAAATATGCCAAGGACCTTGCATGCTGCCTGGTACACAGTTAGTGCTCAATAAGTACATCCCAGCATTTATTGAATGACCACTGTGTGCCCAGCTTGTTCTGAGCACTTCACATGTGTTAAATCATTTGAATCTCTCAGTTGCCCCAGGAGGTAGTCACTTTTATTATCCCCATTTTCGGGAAAAAACTGAGGCACAGAAGAAATATTATTTGCCTAAAGTCATCCAATAGTAAGTAGGGGTGGTGGGATTTGAACCCAGACTGGTCAGACAGCCTGACTTAAGAGTCTAAGCTTTGGGGCACCTTGGTGGCTTAGTCGGTTAAGCATCCAACTCTTGGTTTTCAGCTCAGGTCATGATCTCAGGGTCGTAGGATTGAGCCTCATGTCAGACTCCATGCTCAGTATGGAGTCTGCTTGGGAGCCTCTCTCTCCTTCTCCCTCTGTTCCTCCCACTGCTTGTGCTCACTTTCTCTCCCTCTCTCTCTTTCTCTCAAATAAATAAATAAAATCTTAAAAACAAAAAGAGCCTGAGCTTTTAAGCCCTATGCAAGATGCACAAAAGGTGTGTGAAGGGAATAAGCATATGGCTGGGGGAGGGGCCTGGGCAGGAGGCTCACAGGACCAAACCCAAAAGATCAGGGGTCAAATGGCCCACACAGCTCCTTCTCCTTAGATCAGAGGTTTGGGAGACCAGCAGCAGGCAGGATGGAGGGGAGACTCTAAGAGGGACTGGCCATGGGCACCTAGGGAACCGAAAGCTGAGCAGGTCTGCTCTGAATCTCTGAAAATACTGAATGTAGGGGACAGGGGGCTGGCTGAGATAGCCTGGGGGGAGGTGCTGACCTGCATCTGGGCCCCGGGGATAGCCTCGAATTCGCAGGTCGTTGAACTCCTGGCACCTGTCACTGGTGTCGGCATCTCGGACCCGTGCACAGAGGTCTGAGACCAGGATGAGTGCCCGCCGGCAGAGGTCATCCTCGTAGTCGCCTGACATGGTAGCCGGTGGGTTCTGTGCTTGGAAGGGGCCAGACAAGGGTGCCGATGGGGAATGGGATTGAGGGAGGGGTCGATAAGGGAGAAAAAGAGAAAAGGAAGGATAGGTGAGGGGACAGAGATTGGGAGTAGATGGACAAGGGGATGTAGATTAGGGAGGGATAGACAAGGAGAAAGAAATTAGGGGCAGATAGGAGACTGATTCGGGGTGCAGGCAAAAAGACAGTAACGGGTTGGACAGACAAGGGGATGGAGATCAGCATGAATGGACAAGAGGACAGAGAATAGGGACAAACAGACAAGGAGAAAGAGACAAGCAAGGCCAGTCCCTTGGAGATTAAGAATGCACGATAAACGGATAGACAGACAAGGAGACAGAGATTAGGGGTGCACAGACAAAGGACAGAATTTAGGCACGGGCAGAAGAGGGGACAGCTGTTCATGGCTCATGCATTCAACAAATATTCATTGAGCACCAACTACATGCCAGGCTCAGTGCCAGCAGCTGCAAATCCAGCAGAGAACGAACCCCACACATTTCCCGACTTCTTGGTGTTACAATCCAGTAAGAGGAGACATGGAGTAAACAAGTCAACAAACACACATGAACAAACAAGACAGGCTCACACCATGAGAAGTGCCCTGAAAGAAAGAGTTGGATATGTCACAAAGGGACAGGAGGTGGGCAGTTGTGGGGGAGGGCTCTCTGAGACCTGAAGGACGAGATGCAGCTGGCCACGGCCAGTAGGTGGTGGGGTTAGAGTGGGGAAAGCAACCCAAGCCCCGGGAATAGCATGAAGAAGGGCTTGGCGGGTTCAAGGAATGGGAAGGAGGCCAGATCCAGGTAGAAAGAATGAGGGCCAGGAGAGAGGGAGGGATGAGATTAGAGAGATAAGAGTGTGGTGGTGGGTGGGGTGGGATGGAAGATGCAGGGTGCAGAGATAGGGACCAAGTTGAGAGAGAGATAAGGGGAGGGGAGACAGAGATACCTGGAAGGGCAAACTGGGGCCCAGAACAGAGGGACAGATGAGCAGACAGAGAGAAAGTCAAGGATTGAGATTTGGGATGGACTAAGCATAAAGAATGGACTAGTGTGTAATTTATGAGAGTGTGAGAGATAGGCGGACAGAGGGACTGTGTAAGTGCCAGGACAGAAATATCTTTGAAAGGGAAACAGTGGTGGGAAGAATGGATGGGGAGCAGAAATAAAAGACAGATGGACAGACAATGGCCAGAGACCACAGATGGGCAAAAGGATACAAAGGAGGGCTGGGCAGACAGACATGGGTGCAGAAGGAAGGTTGGATGGGGGTGGGGGCATAAAAGAGAGAGGATGGGGAGAAAGAGGTGGATGTGGGGAGATGGGGAATTAGCCACACATGGTTTGGAGCGAGACATCAGAGATGGACTGGAAGGAGAGTGCAGGGAGAATATAGGGGCGGACAGACCAGAGATCACAGATGGACAGGTGTCGTGGGGGTACTGCAGAAGGCCAGGACTCTGAGACAGGCATGGTCAGACTCACCTGCGCTTATCCCTGCCGTGTCCTGGGTGGCAGCCGAGGTGGCGGCTGGCGGCAGCCCATGGGGGTTGTAGGGCGGACAAGGGGCTGCGGACCCGTCCCCACGCGCCAGGTGGTGGGAGGAGGAGCTGAATCTGGAGGCCGCGGCCAGGAGAAAAAGCTTAGTCCGAGCCTCACGTCTTGTCCTACTCGGACGGGCTGCTCGACCCCAGGCGACCCCCTGGCAGTCCAGCCACCCCCTCCCACCTGCCGGGCCCCAGCTCCCGCTGAGCTTAGACACTACAATTCCCAGCAGGCCTTGCGCTAGCGCGGCTAAGACTTCACAGACTCGGTGCTTCATGGGCTTCTGGGAGTTGAAGTCCTTAATGCCTCTCCCGGCTGCAGAGAGGATGGGAATTTTTTTTTGGAGGTGGGGGGGTTATGAGATACCGGGGTCCCAAGGCGCTGCAGGGGGGAGGAATGATGCCCTGGACCTCGAGAGGTCGCGGAGTCTTAAGTCCTCAAGAGCCATGGAGTAGGTAAACGATCCCCACGCCCGGGGGATCGGTGGGCGAGGCTGGGGTACACCTAGGTGTTTCGGGACCCCCCTTTCTCGGGCCACGTGCCCCTCCCCCGGGGCGGCCAGCGAGCGTTGCAGCACCCGCACTCTCTGGCAGGAGATCCGCGTGCCTCTGCACTTACCCCCGCCCCCACGCGCTGGGGCCGCCCCCCAGGATCGGCCTGGGGCGGGGGCTGGGGCAGGGGGAGTGGGGAGGAGCGGACTCACCCGGAGCCGCCGCCGCCGCCGCCGCCGCCGCAGCAGCAGCCCCGCGCGCCCGCCGCGGTGCCCGCTCGGCTCCTCCCCCAGCCCCTGGCGCAGGTCCGCGGCTCCTCCCTTTGCACCCCCTCCTTTCCTCCCCTCTGAACCTGCGGCTTGAAAGCCGAAATCGCGCGGCCGCAGCAAGGAAGGAGGGAGGTTTCCCGGGACCCAGGCGTCCGAGACCCAGCTCTCTGACCCAGTGGAAGAAAGATCCAGCTGTCTAGGATCATGACCTTCCGCTCCCGCAGGATTCAGGGGTCCCGATCCCCAGCCCCTCTTCTCCCAAATGGAAAAGTCTGGGACCCCAGTCACTTCTCCTCCCGGAACCCAGGGTACTGAGCTCCCACTCACTCAATTCTCTCATCCAGGAATCCACCCCTCGCGGCCCACTCGTCCCGGGGCCTTTCCTTCACAGGACCCAGGAGTAGGAGTCCTCCCGTCTGCGGAGCTCTGAGGGCTGGAGGTGGGATGGGAGGCGGGGCCTCAGAGTTAGCGGGTCTGGAGACTCTCAGCCAGGTGCAAGGATTAGCAGGAACCGGAGTTTGGATCCTGCCCGGCCGGCTCCTGCCTGTGTGACCTCAAGCTCTTTGCTCTTGAGGTCCAGTGTGCTCTTCCAAAAAATACAGACAATAAACCCGTTTCCGAAGGGATCCAGACGTTTGACAAACCAGACAATAGAGGTAAAGCACTGGCACCAAGTAGGTGCTTAATGACTTTCTCAAAAGCAGCAAGTAAGAGTTAATGCCCTATTAATAGCAGTTAATAATAATTGCCACTGACTGTGATCTGGGCACTGAGCTAAGTGCTTGGAAAGCACTCATTTAATCTCCACTTTGGCCCTATTAGGTGGATACAGTTATGCTATTCCCATTTTACAGAGGAGGAAACCGAGGTCCATAGAGGTTAAATCTCTTGGAGAGGACCCAGAACCTCAGAGTCATTGCAGCAACGGGCAGGAGTGGCTGGGAGGCCCCTCAGTCTTCTTTAGTGCTGCCCTCCCCACCCCCCAGTGACACTCATATAAATATACTCTCTAAGTAAAAAATTACTTTCTCCTGCCAAGGCAACTTTAAGACAAGTTCCCTCCCTTTAACTAAATTCCATCTCCCTCATATTGCTACCTATGTATATATACATTTGCAGTCCTTGTCACACTGTAGAATCGCCCAGAAATGCCTCCCAGGTTCACCTTGAATCCTATCCTCAGTGCTTCTCCATTCTCCCTGATGGACTTGCATTTGCACCCAAGGAAGCCTGCACGGGGGAGGGGGGCACATGCCCAGATGGAGGCACACAGGTCCATGCAGCTCAGAGCCCACTCACAACGAGGCCCGCACACCCAGCTGGCCTGCCCAGAGTCCACAGGCAGCCCCTGCCCTGTTCCCCAGGAGAGATACACAAAAGGAAGTATGCATCAATGCATACATTCAGAGATGTGTGTGTATGGGTGGGCTTGCCAGACTTCCATGACACATCTCCAAAGAGACAGCTTCTCATTGGCTGGCAGCTGTAGGGTACCAGTTGCACCTGTGGTTTGGGAAATGGCAGAGCCAGGCTCCAATCCAGGTCTCTTTTCATTATTGTGTGTGAATGGTTTATATTCTCAATGCCTCAGTTCCCTGTCTGTAAATGAGGATAGTTTATGTATTATTTATTTAACTTATTTTTAAAAATATTTCATTTAACTCTTTAAAAAGAGAGATGGGGGAGAGAGGGCACAAGCAGGGGGAGCAGCAGGCAGAGTGAGAGGGAGAAGCAGGCTCCCCACTGAGCAGACAGCCCAACATGGGACTCCATCTCCTGGCCCCTGAGCCGAAGGCAGTCACTTAACCAACTGAGCCACCCAGGTGCCCCGAGGATAGCTTTTTAAAAGCCTAGATTCCACTTCGTTAAGTTATTTTGAGGATTAAATTCATATGAGGTGGTTAGAAAAAATGGTTAGTATTTAGTATTGTCATAATTAGTAATTATATGCATTTGCTCATGTACTTTTTCTCTCTTTCAAAGTAAACTCTGCAGCCAACTCGGGCTTGAACTTATCCCTGGAGATCAAGAACCGTATGCCCTACTGACTGAGACAGCCAGATGCCTGCTCACATACTTCTTAACTGCATTTGACAATGAGGAAACTGAGGCTCAGAAAAAGGAAATGTCCTGCCTGAGATCACATGCCTAGGAAGTGTCAGAGTTGAGTTTCAAAACCATATGGGTCTGAATCTAGACCCTTGCATTCTGCCTCTACATTGTTTGCCTCCAGGAAGTTTGAGGACCTTGCCTGTCACAGCTTCTGGGAGTGTAGAACAGCATAGAGTACTGGACAGGGAGGGAACCAGGAGACAGTCCTCCATATTCATTTCATTCCATCCATACTGTCATTTGTTAAATACTTATTAAGCATAGGGATGCCTGGGTGGCAGTCGGTTAAGTGTCAGACTCTTGGTATTGACCTCAGTCTGTGATCTCAGGGTCATGAGATCGAGCCAGCATTGAGCTCCACGCTCGACATGGAGTTTGCTTGAGATTCTCTCTTCCTCTCCCTTGGCCCTTCCCGCTCGTGTGCTTGCTCTCTCCAGGCACCAGGGATCCAGCTAGGAACAAAGCAGACAGAAACCCAAGTCTTGAGAGGGCCCATGGTCTGGTAGAGGAGACAGAGAGTCATCAAATAAATATCTATACGGGGGTGGCTGGCTGGCTCAGTCAGAAGAGCATGCAACTCTTGATCTGGAGATCATGAGTTTGAGCCCCACATTGGGTTAAGTAGCGATTACTTGAATAAATACAACTTAAGAAAAAAAACTATATGTATTAGAATCAATGCTTTGTGTGTCTGAGGATGTCACGGAGGGCTTCCCTGAGGAAGTGACCGAGTAATGTCTGAACTGAACTCAGAAGGGTGAGTAGGCATAAACCAGGTGAAGATGGGGTAGGGGAGGAGAAGTGCTCCAGCAAGAAGGAACAGCCTGTTGGAGGCCTGGGGCAGCAGGGAGTTTGGCTCACTGAGGACTGCCAGACACATAAGCTCTATGGGGGAAGCACTTTGTTTTGTTTATTGCTTTATCCCTGCTGCCTGGCGCATTGCCTGGCACACAGTAGGGACCCAATATGTATGGATAGGTTGAATGAAGGAGTGAACAAGTGCATGAATAAATAGAGGAATGTATGAATGTGTGTATGGATGGATGAATGGATAGATGGATGGATGGGTGGGTGGATGGGTGGACAGATGGGTGGATGGATAGATGGATGGGTGGACGGATGGATAAATGGATGGATGGATGAGTGGATGGATGGATGAATGGGTGGGTGGGTGGGTGGATGGATGGACAGATGGGTGGATGGATAGATGGATGGGTGGATGGATGGATAAATGGATGGATGGATGAGTGGATGTATGGATGAATGGGTGGGTGGGTGGGAGGGTGGGTGGATGGATGGATGAGTGGACGACTGGAGGATTGGATGCATGTATGGGTGGATGGGTGGGTGGATGAAGTGATAGTTGGGTGGGTGAATGGTTCAGTGGGTGGATGGGTGGGCGGATGGGTGGACAGATGGGTGGATGGATAGATGGATGGGTGGATGGATGGATAAATGGATGGATGGATGAATGGGTGGGTGGGTGGGTGGATGAAGTGATAGTTGGATGGGTGAATGGTTCAGTGGGTGGATGTGTAGGTGGATGGATGAGTGATTGGATGAATTTGCATAAATACCTACAGATTCACACACAAATATTCCGGGAAGTAGATGCAGCTACACACCCAGAGACATACACACATGTGTGTGAACAAAGATTCACCTCTTCTGGTGCTGCTCCTGGAGAGAACAAACACCAAGAAACACCAAGCTGGCTAGGGCCTTTGTGGATGAAGATGCAGGGAGACAAACCCTTTGACCAGGGCTAGAACCAGCCCCACCCCCACTGCGGCACTGACATAATTTCTGGAATAGGAAGAAAATGCCGATTCAGGGATTTGTGTCCCAGGCTGTGAGCCAGGCCAGGGAGTGGGATAGGAATGGCCCAAGAGAGATGAGGTGAATGGTAGAGGGAGGCATATGGGGCTAAGACAGACAGAGAAAAAGACAGAGAGATAGAGAGACACAGAGAAACAGAGATGGAGAAATAGAGCAACGGAGACAGAGATATGCAGAAAGCTATAGAGACACAGAGAATAAGAAATGAACAAAGAAAGAGACACATGACATAGAAATTAAAATTCAGACACAGAGCGAGATGAGGCAGGATTCCAGAGATGAGAGAGGAAGAAAAATAAAGACACGGAGAGAAGTGGAGACACGGGAAGATGGAAACATAGAGACCCAGACTCTAGAGGGAAGATGAGAGAGACACAGATAGAAAGAGAGCGAGAAGAGAACACCTAAAGAGGGGGAAAAAGAGAGCTCCAGAAGAGATGGCTAAAACTGGGCTCAGAGAGGGGAAGACATTTGCCCAAGGTTACACAGTCTGGACATAGCATTTGATGCTGGTCTGTTGAGGGCCAGTGGGGTTGGGGCTGCTGAGCATGAGCCACAGCGATAGAGAGAAATAGTCTCTCTATCTAGCTGTTGGTCTGCCAGGGCAGGTAGACACAGGACCAAATCCCTGAGCAAGACAGAGTGGACCATGTTTAGTCTGGGAAAGAAGGAGACAAAGAATGAACAAAGGAAGGAGACAAAAACACAGCTAGGAGGAGGAGGAGGCGTCAAAGAAGGGTTCTGGAGGAGGGGGCATTTGGGCTTCTTATTAAAGGGTGAGAGCATTTGGGCTTAGGGAATTGAGGAAGAGCATTCTAGGCAGAAGGCACAGAATGTGAAGAGTGAAAACAGGAGTGGGGTGGGAGGGATTTGAGAATGTTTGAAGGGGCGGGGTGGGAGAGGAGAGTGGGACCAGATTGCAGATTTCAAATTCCTGGCTGAGAAACTGCATCATTGTCCAAGGGCACCGGGGAGCCATGGGAGGGCTGCAAGCTGGTGAGGGGCAGGGTCAGCTCTGGGTGCAGAAGGATGCCTCTGGAACCCTGCAGGGAAAGGAATGAGGAGGGGAGGGCAAGAGGAAGGTTGTAGTGAGGGTCCAGGCAGGAGAGGATGAAGCCTGAGTGTCAGGACTGTGGGAATGAAGCGGAAAGGAAGCAGTAGAGAGAGACAGGAGGGATGGAGCTTGGAGACTGAGGGGCTGTGGGGGGTAGGTGTGCCTGTGGTCATGGGAATGAAAGATGTTCCCTGTCCCATAGGTTTGGAGTTGGCCACTGGAAATGGAGAAGGACAGCCTGCTAGGAAAGAAAGACATGAGGGTGCTGAAAGGGAGACAGGGCCACAGAGGAACTGAGGATGAAACTGGGTCTATTTAAGTGAGCACTGTTTTAATCGCCAATGACAAGAGACTCAAATGACTGAAGCAAAGGAGGGAATTAATTGGGTAAATGAAGGCTTCAGGCATGGCTGGATCTAGGTATCCCAATCATCATCAGGAATCTGCATCTTTGGTCTCTGTTCTCCTCATGTTGTCTTTGCTTTTGGGCTCATTCTCTCCCCATATAGTTATGAGAGCCCCCAGCAGCTCCAACCTAGACTCGACCAGCCCAGCAAGCTTAGCAGAAAAAGAAAGATCCTCTTTTATAACAGGTCCAGTAAAAGTGCAAGGCTGGACTCTATCCTATATAGATTTTTAAGCTCACTTCTGAAGAAATCACTCAGAAAATCAAGGCACTACTCCCTAGAAAGCAGAGAGCCTGTGCTTATCAAGTCAAGGCAGAGACCATCTTGAAGGGGAGAATAGAGTACTAGAGATAAAAGTGACAGGGACAGAGAGGGGAGGACAGACAGAATAACTAAGAAAGTCCTGCCTCTTCTCCCACACTTCCTGCTGCTGAGAGCTCTGCAGACACAAAGAAAGACATGCTTAAGGAACACCAGTGTGGCACAACCCCTTCACTCCTGCACCTGGGCCCAGGAGCCCCCAGACCGTCCACATCCACCCCTGGATCCAGGAATCTGGTTTCCCACTCCCTCCTCCCATTGACCCAGAGGTCTAGGATCCCAGCTCCCTCCTTCCTCAGACCCAGAGTTGGAGTTCCCAGCCCCTCCCCCTCCTTCTGGAGGTACCATGGCGACCAGGCCCCCTGTCCACCTTTCCCTCCCCCATACAGAATCCAGTTTCTGTTTGAATCTGGCCTGTGTCTAACCAGTTCCTGAGTGAGACAGGGATGATCGGAGGGCAAGTGGGACCAGAAAGGGGATGACAGAGGGCAGGGGAACCAGTTATGAGAGAAGAGAGGTGAAGAAAGATGGGGAAAGGAGACTGGGAAGAGACGGGGAGAGAAGTAGGGAGACAGAGAGAGGGTGGTAGGCTTGGAGAGAGGCAGAACACTATGAAGAGAAGGAGGGAAGGAGGGCTGGGGAAATGTTGGGGAAACTAGGGGAGAAGGAGACTGGGGGGTTGGAGGGAGGGAGGGGGAGAACAGTGGGGAGGAAGAGGGCAGAGAAATCAAGGGAAAGAGTAGAGGAGAGATGCAGAGAGATCAGGGGGAAAAGATGGGGAGAGAGGTGGAGAGGGACAGAGAGATGGGGAGAGAAGGAGGATGAGAGAGGGACAGAGCCAGAGAGAGGCAGAGAGTTGAGGAGACAGGGAAAAATGGAGAAAGAAACAGGAAAGTGGCAAAGAAGGAATCGGGGCACACAGGAATTGGAACTCACTGGGTTTCCAGAGGTTAGGGGGACCCAGATTCCTATGTGGCCTCAGCCTTCCAGTTCTTCCTTATTTTCCCCCCGGGGCTTTAGAGATGAGGAGGAGACAGCAGTGGGGGGAAGGAGCTGGGGTGGGTGGTCCAGTCAGGGCCCTTCTCCCCATCCTCCTGAGACATACCCCACCCACCTTCCCAGGATGCAGCAAGAGGTGGAGACCCTGTGCTCCTCCACCGTGGGCAACCCCAGCATGCACAGGGAGGCAGGTACTGAGCACTGTGTGTGTGTGTGTGTGTGTGTGTGTGTGTGTGTGTGTTGGGGAGAATGGGGGGGCCTTCACCCATGCCCCATATGGTAACCCTGGATTGTAGTGTGGCCTTAAGCTAGTCACTGGCCTACCAGAAAGCCACCCCAGACTCCGTCGTTGACCAGATTCATGGGCAACACCCTTTGGACTTCAAACTACATTTGTCATGAGCCTTTGCAGTTTCCTGGCCAGTGGTCTGGACCCAGAACTACATTTCCCATGAGCCTCTGGGGGACTTCACGACCCTTCTGAGGCTATTGTCTCCCTAGGTGCTCTGCCCTGGTCCCTCACACTCTCCTTTTCTCCCACACTGAGCTCAACAGCTTCCCCCAAAGTCACTCCTCCTCCCTCTTTCCCATCCTCAATGGTCCTACTATCAACCTGGTCACTGGGCTAGACCACCGGTACTGACCATCCCTTCCTATTTCCTCCCACAGCCATCAGTCTGAAGCCCCATCTTCCGGCCCATTCCCTGTGTCCTCTGCCTGTCTCTCCATCCCCAGAGCCCCAACTCAGGTCTTGTCCTCCTCCACATGGATGCTTTCTCTACCTAACTCCCGGTTCAGTTTTTCCCCCTAAGCCCATTCCCCACTTGGCTCCTGCAGGGTCTTTTGACCACCATTGCCGACCCTGCCTCTCCTCTGCTCACACCTCTCCTTCCTTCTTCATGACCTCCAGGATAGAGTCCCAACCCCTCAGCCTCAGACCCCGTGTGGTTGGCCACCAGCTGTCAACTTCAGCCTCACGTTCCAGGGCTCCCTACCTGCACTCTGCTTTAGCAGGGTCATTCATTTAACACTCAGTCAACATTCATTGAGTAGCATCTTGGTGAGGATGCATTCAGCTAGCATGCAATAGAAATTGGACTTGGTGTAGTATAAAGAATAGGAAGACCATTATCACCCAAACAGAAGCCCAGAAGTGGAGCATGGCTTGGGTTTGGTTGTCAGCAGCTCAGTGATATCACTGAGGACCAGATTCTATTTCACTTCCTTTAGGCCTGGGATGTGTGTCCTTTGCACACCAGCTTACTCACCACAAAACGGCTGCCACAGTCCCAGGTATCACTTGCCGAGGTCTTCATCTTAAAAACTCCCAAATTATCTGTCCTCACATCTTATTGGCCAGCACTCAGTCACCCACCCACTCTTGACTCAACCCCTGGCAAAAAAGATTATCATGATTACTTTTGTCAGCAGTTCTCAACTCTGGTCCTCACATCAGGTGAAAGGATTAAAAAAAAATCTATACCTACCCTCACCTCAGACCCAATTTAATCAGCATCTCTAGGATCTGGGTCCTTGCATCTGTATTTTCTGAATGCTTGCCAAGTGATTGCGATGAACAGTAAGGGTTGGAAGGCACTGGTTTAAACTGGATGGGATACCTTTGAGGAAATAAGATTGGTGAGGGTCCCTTGAGTTGCATGAGCAAAGGATGGACCCTTCTCAAACGGGGGAAGAAGGATGGGACTGGCTGAGTGGGGATCCTTTCTTGGTGTCTGTTACAAGAGCCTCTGTGCCAGGTGCTATGCCAGGCATAGCAAATGACCTCGTGGCAAAACGGACACCATTTCTGTCCTCAGATCTCTTTTATTTTTAGAAAAGATTTCATCTTTGTTTATTTATTTGAGAGAGAGAGAAGCAGACTCCCCACTGAGCAGGGAGGCTCCATCCCAGGACCCTGGGATCACTACCCGAGCCAAAGACAGATGCTTAACCAACTGAGCCACCCAGGCGTCCCTGTCCTCAGGTCTCTTTTAGGGTCTTTGAAGACCTCTTTTGGTGATCTCTGCCCCACATCATCTCTAACCTAGACTGAGGCACCCATCTGATAAATATAGTTTATGTAGAGCTTCAAAAAAGTTGAGTGGAACTGAGTTGACTGGTTGGCCAGTTTTGTAGATCAGTATTTCAGTTTTGTGCCTGGCTTTGTGGTACTTCAGAACTAGAAACATTTTTAACTTACTAGGATGCGAACTTTGGTGTCAGCCATCAGAAAGCCCGTGGGTCCCCAGTGTTTTTGCCTTTGGTGCCCGATTAGTGAAATGACCCAGCCTGTTCCCACACAGGGAGGGCAGACAGAGAGGGTGGACACCATCTCACAAATAATTAATAACCTACAAATGCAATAACCGTGCCTTAGTCTTGGGGCTGAAGGGAATTCTGAGAAGTTGTTGCAGATGACCATATTCTCTTTTGCTTAAAAACCTTAGTCCCTGGTGGTCCCTCTGCATAAACAACCTTTTCCCTGCCATTCCTTTTTTCTTTCTCTCTTTCTCTTCCTTCCTCCCTCTTCCTTCCTTCCTTCCTTCCTTCCTTCCTTCCTTCCTTCCTTTTCTTCTTTCTTTCTTTCTTCTTTCTTTGTTTCTCTCTCTCTCTCTTTTTTTCCTTTCAGTAGGCTCCATGACCTGAGCTGAGATCAAGAGTTGGACGCTCAACTGACTGAGCCACCCAGGCGACCCCTGCCATTTCTTTATTTGGCAAGCTCCTCCTTATTCTCTGGGTCTCCCTGTAGACATTACCTCCTCCAAGGAGCCTTCCCTGATTGCCCCTGGATTAGGCTTCGCCTTCACCTCATGACATCTCCGCTGTATATTCTATCGTCCTTTACAGTGACTGCTTCCCTCACCAGACTGGGAGCTCCTGGCAAGCAGGGCAGTTGGTCTAGACAGAGTGGGGTAAGAGGCAGCAGACTGGGGAGATTGAGAACACAGAGTCTAGATCCAGATGCTTAGATTTTTATCCTGATTCTGTCACTTAAGGCTGTGTCACCTTGGGCAAGTCCCGTGATCTCTCTATGCTTCTGTTTCATCATTTGTTAAATTGCACTATTTCAGCAAGCTGTCGTAAGGATGCAATGGAAAACACTTTTGAAAGTGATTGGCTTTTTATTTTATTTTATTTTTAAAGTAAGCTCTACGCCCAGTGTGAGGCTTGAACTCACAATCCCGAGATGAAGAATTAGATGATCTACCAACTAAGCCAGCCAGGTGCCCCAGGGGTTTGGCTTTTTAAAAGGGATTGTAGGGGTGCCTGGGTGGCTCAGTGGGTTAAAGCCTCTGCCCTCTGCTCAGGTCATGATCTCAGGGTCCTGGGATAGAGCTCTGCATTGGGCTCTCTGCTCAGCAGGGAGCCTGCTTCCCTTCCTCTCTCTCTGCCTGCCCCTCTGCCTGCTTGTGATCTCTGTCAAATAAATAAGTAAATCTTTAAAAAATAATAAAAGGGCTTGTAAACCTATAGTTATTATTATCATTATGTGGACAGATGTGGGGAGGTTATTGTGTTGGAGAGATGTAGGGCAAGCCAGTATAGCTGGAAGAAAATGATTAGAGAGGTCAACAGGGGTCACGACCACACACAGGGCAGGTACTTCTCCAGGAGATCTTGTTAAAATGCAGATTCTGATTCCGTAGGTCTGGGAAATACCGTGTTTCTTTCGTTTTTGTTTCAATTTGTTTTCCAAGTTGCATACATAAAACAAAGAGATCGTAAATATATTTCAATCAGTTTTGACACATGCCTAGGTTCATCTCACCCAAAGCACTGTGAAACATAGACTATCCCCATTATACCAGTTCCCTCACATCCAAATGCTGTGTTTCAAACAAGGTACTGCTCCCCAGATCACACACTGAGGAGCGAGTCCCCACCTCAGGGAGGACTGTACCCTGAAGGCAAGAGGAAGCCACTGGTGGTTTGCAAGCATGGGGTGTTGCGATGGAGTGATCAACCCAGCTGCCCTGTGGACACAGATGGAGAGGTGGGAGGATGGGGACGGGAGCAGGGGGCTTACTATGGTACAAGCTCAGTCAAAGACCACCAGGATCATAGCTGTGACATAGCTGTGTGCTGGAGACAGGCTCTTGTGAGCCGACTGTTAAATTTTGCAAGCTGGTTGTTATAACTGTGGGGAGCATGGAATTGGTCATGGTGGGAGTACTGACAGAATGAAAACTGGCAAAGGCTACAGTGGGTGTCGTGTGTGCGCACGTGGGCACATGTAAGAGAGAGACAGAGACAGAGTGATATTAATTAGACATTTACCAGCACACCCCTAAGTTTACCGACTTGTACTGAAGGAGTCCGTAACACATGGAACGTCTTAGTAGGAGGGTGTTAGGGAGGACTTATTATTATGGGAGCTGCTGGGTTAGGTGACTTTGGGAGAATTCAGGGGAGCAGGCTTTGCTCTGGATCGGATGCTGGCAGGAAGTGGAGGCAAGGCTATGACGCAGGAGAGATGAATGGAGCAAACATTGTGGGTGGGGAAGAAGCAGCATCAGCTCCAAACCAAGAGGAGGATGTTTGGTCATTTCATGGTTTGGACGGTGTTCATGTTGTGTGGTGCTGAGACGTAACTCCGCTCTTATTTTTATCTTGGTCTATCATGGTCACAGAGTGGCCTTGGCTGACGTGGGTGGTCTGTGAGATTGTTTATGTCCGACATAAACAGCCCTGGCTGTTGAGGGCTGCTTTCCTCTTTGTTCATTTGCTGTAACAAAGAGACACCCCCACACATGATGGCATGAAGAAGAGAGTGTATTTCTCTCATGGGACGGGAGGCAGGTGGTCTGGATTGGTGGGACATCTCAGCCCCATGAGATGACTCAGGGACCCAGATTCCCTCCATATTGTGGCTCTAGCACGGCTGAAGCTGGCTTGTTGCTACATCCATTCCAGTACAAGGGAAGGGGAAACAAGTCAAAGACAAGCAACAGACTTTTAAACAAATGACTCCCAAGTTTCACCCCTCACTCCCCTAACACAGTTGGTGAGAACTCCGTCACATGGCCACACACAGCTGCAAGGGATGCTGGGAACCCTTATGTCTAGCCCGATGGCTGGTCAGACTCTTAAGACTGTAGAGGAGGGGCAAAACGGGTTATATGGGACAACTAGCAGTTGGCCATTAAGAGAGACCCTTTAGTCAATGGAGGAGTTGCCTAGAGCGGCTCAGATTTGGCAGCTGTTATCAGACTAGCTGCAATCAGGAGGCCGTTTCTGAGAGTGCTGGGAAAACCACACACTGGATTCAAAGGCTGCCGCCGGGCTGGGGTGACTGGAATAGGAAGCAAAATGCCTGGCAAGCCCCTTCCTCTTCCTCCAGCCTTCGCGCGCGCCCCCTACAGGCAGAGCCTAGCAGGAACCCAGCTGTTGCAGCGGCGGAAACCGGGCGGTTGGGGTGGCGGGGAGAGTTGGTAGAGTCCCTGCCCTGGGATCAGAGTGGGTGCAGAAGGGAGTTGTTTGGAGCTGAGAGGCAATAGCTTAGTAGGTGGCATAATAGCTATTCGGGGTGGCATGGACAACCCTTCGTGATGCCCATTTAGGCCAAAAAATGTCTGAGGAGTGCTCAGGACTGCTGACATTGAGTTCTTCATCCCCAGGAGCCCTCCTTGTGGACCTAGAGACCCCAGAGGAGACGCCAACCCGGAGCCTGGGCAGGCCTGTCAAATCCTCGTGAGTGGCCCCTGGCCCCAATGCTTCTGATCTCAGCTCCTCTGAGTGCAATGTCAGCAACCCCTGACCTCGGAGGTCCCTGCCCGCTCGCTCTCTCCCCAGAAGGCAGTACCTGCGCCAGGTCATTGCAGAATACGAGGCGCTGGACCGAGAGCTCCCGTGCATCCGGAAGTTCCCCACACCCCCTGCTGCCCAGCCTCTCTGTCTGTGCATGGAGACCTCAGTGAGTGGCCTCGCCCCTGCCCCTGCCCCTGGGACCCCAGGCCCCGAGTTTCTGCACAGTTTCACTGGGAGGATAGAAAGAGAACTGGCTCAGAAATGAGGTGGACAAGGCTTAAATCTAAACTCGGAGGCTTACCAGCTGTGGGCTTGGCACCAGGTTTTAGGTTGCTAAAAATTGATTATGAATTTGTCAAGGGATCAATCATCATATTTATCACTGCTGATCCCAGAGAGGCAAAGAGAAGGGGAGGAAAAGGGGCAGAGAAGGGCAGAGATCAAAAGACGGAGAGCAGGGAGACTGAGGACACAGGGAGTCCTACCATGAAATCCGTCTACCATGAAATTCTGTAAAGTTTGCAAATGTAGCAAAGACTCAAGATAAAGCCCCTGTTTTTGGAGATTCAGTGTCCAAATCTGTTGGTAATCCCTACCATCAGTCAGAGAGGAGGTATCTAGTAGGTTCTTACTGGTAAATTAAAACCTTAATGGGATGCTTCCATGCACCAGGCACAGGACCCAGATGCACTCCCTCAGCCCATCTGTGTGACTTTAGCCCAACAGAGATTGTTGTCCTTGTCTTCCTTGTGGCTCTGAACAAGAGACCCCGCCTCCCCCACACATACACCCACAGCTTCCCTTCCTGGAGATGACCAGTTTCATGATTTCATCCTAGTTCATCAGCAATTTTATATGCTATGACCATAGTATATCACCTTCAACATGGTAATCTCATGCTGAAAATGTGGTTAGTGGTCAGTGTAATGGCAAGAAGTCACAACCCCTATGATCCCTATTATTATTATTATTATTATTTTACAACGGAATATTCCTTAAAATGCTAATAGGAACATAAAAGGAAAAGTGTACAACCTTAATCCTTGCAGGATCTTCGAGAGTTGCTAATAGCCTGCCATCCAGCGCAGATTGCTGGAAAATTTTTGGTAAAGTTGGCCAAATTGGTAAATCATTTAAGCCACCTGTTCATTGGCAAATCGGCTCCTTGAGAATTGCTTTTTGGAGAATGACCTAGAAGGACAGGTAGATGCTTTTCTACCTCAGAGATACCTGTGCTCCCCGCTTTGACTACAGCGACGGGCTCCTGAGATGGAGTGTGAGTCTTGCCTCGCAAGTGCCACCTGAGATTCTGGCAGGTCCTGCAAGTGGGTCTAAGGTAGGGGCTTAGGAACCGGGACTGAACCTGACTGTCTCGTGCTGACGTTCTCTTGACTCCTCCAGCCAGAGGAGGACCTTACCCACCTAGAGGTATTGGAGGCTCTGGAGGCCGAGTTACCCGGCGCCATGGAGAGCGGGCGCGTGAGCAGCATCCGCTTTGAAAATATGAATGTCATTTGTGGAACTGCGGGGCGCCGGGACAGGTGAGCCTGCGGCGGGGTCGCGGTCCCGAAGGAACGAGAGAGGCGTGGCAGGAGTGGGAGTGAGGGGTGTGGCCTACTGAGGGCGGTGGGGAGGGGCCGAGGCGCTGAGTGGGCGGGGCCGGGAAGGGAAGACTGTGTGGTCTGGAGAAGGGCCTGATGGGTGCAAGGGCGGGACGATGGGGCTGAGAGTGAAGTGAAGCGGGAAGGGGCTCGAGCCGAGAGTGAGAGCAGTGAAGGGGGAGGGCCAGGTGAGATCTGAGAGAAGGCGGGACCTGGAGTGAGGAAATGGACGTTGAGTGACCTGGACAGGTAACACCGAGGTGTGGGGTCGGAGCCTGGACCCATCACATTGAGGGAGTGGGGACCAGGAGAGATCTAGAGGGTCAGAGGCCTGGAGTGTCTAGCTGGGGGCGAGGCCAGGAGAAACCTAAATCTGGGGACAGGCCTGAGAGACACACTGAAGGGGCCCCGGCCCTGGAACGGCGGTTTGAAGAGATGGAGTCTCGACAGACCACAATTGGGGGACAGGACCAGGCTGAGAGAAGACGAGACCTAGAATGACCCGCGTAAGGATCGAAGTACGGGTTGACTTCGGCGAGACGGCAGGGCTGCTGAGGGCTTTAGGGACAGCGCAACGAGCTGAGCAACCGCAGTGGGTAAACGAACGGGGAGCGACCAGGCAGGGACCCTCCGACAATCAAAGGCGGGGCTGGGACCACCAGCGATTCCTTTCGGTCTCCGCCCCGTCCCTGTCCTCTTGGCCCCGCCCCCTCGCAGGTGGCTCATCACGGTCACTGACTTCCAGACTCGCTCGCGTCTGCTGCGCTCCGGAATCCGCCTCCGCGGGAACGCACACCCGCTGGTGCGCCAAGACGAGCTGCTGCTGGCGGATTACCGCCTGCACCTGCGCCGCTCCCTTGTCCGGCGGCGCATGCTCGAGGCCCTAGGGGCGGAGCCGACCGAGGAAGACTAACATTTAGGGGGCGGGCCCCGGCTGCGCGTGCACACCGCCCCGCGGGCTCGGGCGACCCACCCGGAACCCCCGAGGGAAGGGGGCGTTGCCTCCCCAGGAAGGAGGCGGGGCCGGCTCGAGGGGGTGGATACTGTGAGTTTAATTATAAAGAATGACCTGGTACAAAAGCCATTTCTTTCTGCAAAATTTTGGTGGGGAGTCAGGGGGAGGGAGGTGATGGGGGGTAGGGATGAACCCCCATAATATAATCCCGCCTCCCTCATCTTCCCCCAGTCCCTGCAAATGGACGCCTGGGTCCCAATCCCTTGAAGGATGAACTGAGGCTTGCGAGAGGGAAGACCCGGGCGCCGGGGCTTTCAATCCATGCGGATCCGTCTCAGCGAGAACCAGACGTCCTCATCCGCCCCCCTCCTCTTTTCTCCCACCCCCCTTGGAAGACAATTCTCGGGCTTTTATTTCAGGTTTTTTTTTTTCTGGATTTTTTTTTTGTGTGTGTGTTCTAGGTTTTGTTTTTTTTTTTTGTATTTTCTTTTGTTATTGTTCCTCTTTTTGCTTTATCCTCTCCGCCCCGCGCTGCCCCCATCCAGTCCCTTCCCCCTCCCACCCCGACCTCCTCCCCCCCCCACCCCCTACACCCTCCCCAACCCCGCGGCACCCATCCAAAATGAACAAGCCCTTGATAGACGGGTGCCGCGCAGGCCCCCTGCGGGCGGGGGGCATCCGACAAGGGGGAGGGGGCGGGTAGGGGCCCAGCATGACCTCTGCCCCCCTCCTTGCTACCCCTCCCCCCTCCCACGACCCTCCCACAAGGTTCCCCGCAGATCCCTGACGTGGTGAGGGGAGAGGGCTGCAAGCACCCTCCCCCCCCCATGGACGGAGCGCCCCCCCCTCGGGGGTAGGGGGCAGCAGAGAGGGAATGGGCTTGGGGAAAGGAGGGGGAGCTCCCTTCTTTGGCAGCTGAACATGGGGGGGACCTGAGGGCGATGCCCTCCCCCCCTTTACCCACAGTAGTAGAGGGGGCTTCCCAGGGGAAGGGGTGGCTTAAAATTCCCAAGCCCCAGGAATAAAGGAAGTGGGGAAGCGTGCAGGAAGGGAACAGCCATGCTGGAGGGAGGAGGAGTTCCTTGGAGAAAAGGTTTGGAGGGGGAAGGATCTTCGTGCAAAATGGATGGAGAGATGGTCTAGGAAGAGTGAGAGGAGGGGGAATGTGCAAGAGGTCACAGACTGGAGCAGGGAGAAGAGGAAGCGTGGAGGCACGGTGAGCAAGAGGGGAGTGTGCATAGGGTCTTCTCTTGCCAGGAGAAAGGAGTATCCAAGAGGTGAGAAAACAGGCAGGGTAAGAATGTCCGGAAGAGGTGTTCCTCCACAGGCACAAAACAAGGATGCTAGGAAAAGAAACGACAGTACAGCCCAAGTGTGTGTGGAAGGAGACAAGTGTGCAAAAGGAGAGAGACGGTTGAGTTCCCCCCAGGGAGACTGAAACAGTCCGGGAGCCAACAGGAACAAGGAGAGATTCAAGAATGAGTGTGCAGCAAAGCCACGGTGTGCAGAAGCATTAGAGAAGGAACGTGGCTTCAAGAGAGCGGCGGAAGAGCTGGGGAGGACAAGTGCGCAAGAGTTGAGTGTGCGAGAAAGCTCAAAAAAGAGCTGAGAATGAAGCAGGATACACATCTGGAAAAGAAGGGTGCACAGGAGTGGGAACCTGGCAAAGAGGAAGGGAATGAGAGAGAAGCAGTTCCTGGGAGGCAGGTGTGCAAGATGTGGGAGATGTGATGGTGTGAGGAGGGGAGGAGCAGGGAAGGGCATGGGAGTGTCACTGTGAGAGGGAGATGCATGGAGAGTCAGAACGTGGGGCTTTGAGAACAAGAAGGGGAAATGCTTAAAGACGATGGGCACAAGCGTGTCAGGAGCCGTGCATGAGATAGTAAGTGCACAAGAACTGAGTCAAGGCAGGTGTGTTCCACAGAATAAATACGTGTGCACAGAGTTTGTGAGTGGGTAGGGAAAAGGGTGTCCCAAGTGTGTCTGCAGCAAGGGTTTAGAGATTTTCAGGAGTGAGGTGTGTAAAGGAAGATACCAAGGGAAGAGTACGCAGGCAAGAGTTTGAGACAGGAAGGGTACGGAATGTGGAAGAAGAAATGCAATGTGTGCTAGGGAAACGGGGTGTTTGAGCGCTGAGAGGGCCTCGCGAGCCAGAAGCGAAGGCGGAGTGTGCAAGACAGCGAGAGGGCAAATTTGTGCAAAATTGTAGCCCAGGGAGAGGAGAGGCAAGCAGGCGTGCAAAGGAGCGTGCAAGAGGCTGGGGCGGTGTGTGTGTGGGGGGGAAGCGGCGGCTGCTGTATGTGCTGGGGAGAGGGGAAGGTGGGGAGAGCCCAGGGGCCTGGGGGGGGGGGAAGGGTTGTTAGAGGGGCGGCAGGTGGTGGAATCTGAGGGCACCCCCTTCCCCTGTGGCCGGGGACAACCCGCATCCAATCAGGCTCAGGGCTGACCCTCTATGGCTCTGTCTGTTCCCCCCTCCCCAGAACCGACCCTTCCCTCCTCCTCCATCCCCCTCTGTGATTTCCTCCATCACCCCCCCCCTTTGCTCCCTGCTTCACACACAGTCTTGTGTCAGCTGCCCCCTCCTGTGAGGTGCAAATGTCTGGCTGGGATCAGGCCACCTGGTGACCTCCGGCCTTGGGAGAGGAGGGCAGGGCGCAGTTCTAGCAGAGTCCCTGGCCCAGGGGGAGAGAATGACGGTCAGGGGTCAGAGGTCAAGAGGCCAGAAGGCCCAGGGGTTCTGTGGACGGGCTGGTCCGTCCAGGCCAGCCATCACCTCTCCAGGAAAAATTTGAGAGCCCGGTCGATGTTCATGCGGTGGCCCACCCTGGTCACACCCAGATCGACGTAATCCTCCTTGGTCAAGGCAGGCAGATGGGAGCCATCGATCTCGTGGTCCAGGAACTGCGCCCGGTGCTCAGCCAACCCCAGCCACTCGAGCCAATCAGCCACATCGAACTTGGTCCAGAACCCCAGAGGCTTAGCGCCGAAGGGCTTGTCCGGGGGGCAGCGAAAGCAGGCGGGTTGGTGAGAGGGAGCGGGAGGCCCCTGACAAGGCCCCGCCAAGCCCCCCAGACATCCCGGGGTGTGGTGGCACAAAGACAGGGGCGAAAGGATCAGCCGAACCTCCGGCCCCTCCGGTTGGGGAGCTGCGGATGTCAAAGAGGCCCGGGTACAGGGGTCCGGAAGGCAGGATGGGCAGGGACGAGGGCCTGGGCGCAGGGCTGACCTTGTGCTCCGAGGCGGGCAGCAGTGAGGGGCTGGGGGCCCGGCGGAGCAGAGGAGGCCGCATCTCGAACTCCACGCCCTGGAGGTGGCGGGTGGACGTGGAGGAGGAGGCTGAGGGTGAGGTGGCCCCCGACGCGGCAGCAGCTGAAGGGGGGACCCCGCTTCCTGTGGGGAGTGGCGGCAGAGGTGGTTTGGGCCAGTTCTGAAACAGGCTGCTGATGGGTTTGGAGAGGAGCGAGGACTGGGAGTCTTCAGAGAGTCTGGAAGGTGACAAAGGGGCAAGGGTGGAGGAAGGGGGTTTGGAGGGCAATGGCGGGGGTGAGAAAGAGGCAGAGGTTGAGACGTAGGGAGAGAAGAGACACAGGAGCGGGGGTAGAGAAGTGGAGGAGAGAGATGGGAAGAGATGGAGCGAGGGGGTGAGACAGATGTCAGGACAGAAATGAAGGGAGAGAAGAACGAGAGGACAGGGAGAGGGTGACAGTCAAGAGAGATGAAAGAAAAAGAGACATTAAGTGATAATAATAATAATCGCCACCACTTACTGATGCTCACGTGTGCCAGGCATTGTTCTAAGTGCTTTACATATCGCATCTCAGTGTATACCCCATGACAGCCCTGATGCAGGTTACTATTATTATCAGCAGCAGCACAGAGAGGTTAAGTAACTTGCCTAAGGACACACAGCCAGGAAGTGGCAGAGCCCAGTTATATGGCACCAAAGTCTGAGCTCTTAACCACTACTCTATACTGCCTATCGGGTTATGGCCAGTCACAGCAGAGTGGAAGACAGGGAGACGGTGAGAGAGGAACAAAAAGAGGGTGAGCGTTCAGGGGAGAGAGATGGCAGGGGATAGGGGACAGAGAGAGAGAGAGGGAGAGAGATGAGGAGAGGGAGATGAAAGAGAGAAGAAACAAGGGGAGAAAAAGGTTCCCCTCATCCCTTTAGCTCCTTCAGAACAGTCCTGCCTCAGGACCTTTGAACGGGCTGTTACCTTGGCCTAGCTCACTTCCTCCATGTAGCCATGGGTTCTGCTCCCTCCCTTCCTTCAGCTTCTGCTCATCTTGCTAGTTTATGGCAAGGCATTTTCTGACCATCCCCATCCCTGCCTCGTTAGACTATGAGCTCTGTGAGGGCAGGGCCTTGCCTGTCCTGTCCCGTACGGTGTCCCTGTCACTCCACAGGGCACCCAGTGCACAGTAGGTGCTAAAGCAATAGCGGCGCATCTCGCCTACATTAAGCATCCTCTCCTGCACCCAGAATACTTAGAAATAATCAGCCGGTTGCCCTAAGATCTCAAAGGCTTGAGAAAACCACATTCAGACATCACCATAAGGACATCAGACCCTCAAAGTTAGAGTGAGCTCTGCAGAAGGCCAAGGGCAAGGGGATTAAGAGACCTCTCCTCACTCTCTCCGTGTGCCTGAATCAGAAATGTGACTCTGCTTGCCCTAAGACTAGAAGGTCTTGAATGAGCTCAAACTTTGTGGCAATCCTGGCTAAGCTAGCTGCTTTAGGAAACTTCTTCACTATCCTGTATTTTTCCTTCTACACTTGTTGGGCCTTGGTAAGAGGCCCCTCCCCTCCCCCAACTCCTGTTACAAAAGAAGCCCACATTTAATCCTCTCGAAATCCCTTTCAGTGGGTCCAATGCTGTCCACCTTCTACAGAGAGGTGGGTTCCTTTGCCTGAGGTCTCCCAGTTAGAAGTCCCGGGCTGAGACCAAAGCCCAAGAGGCTGGGCTCCAGGCCCACACACCAAACCACTACGCCCTAGAGCCTCTTAATCTTGAGCCACATTGGGTTCAAGGGACTTGATTTCAGGGACTGTCAGAAATGACAACCCACATCCCATTATGAACAAAAAAGTTATCAACAAAGGAGATTGGA